CGCCGCCGTGGACTTCCATCGCTGGATCGCCATGGCAGCTGTTGTCCTGGCCAGTATGTGGCCCCTGCCATCCTCCCCCGCTGCAGCCACCTGGGTCTAGCTTTGGGAAACAGGGAGGGGCCCAAAGCCCCTTATGCCTCTCTCCCTGGGTTGGAGGTAGAGCTGGGCCCAGCCGGCATCCCTAACGGGCCTGTCTCTCTCAGTTTTGCACAGCGCGGGCCACGTGGTCAATGTCTACATCTTCTCAGTCAGCCCGCTCAGCCTGCTGGCCTGCATGTTCCCCAGTGTCTTCGTGAATGACGGGTCAGTGCTGGGAAGGCCCTCCCTAGGACTCCTGGGGTGAACCTAAGGGTAGAATAGAAAAGAAACAGACACTCAGCTCCTGACTGAGCGAAGATGTGAAGGTAGGCCCTAGGAGGCCTTGTCCTTGGGAAGGAAGCTGGATATGGTGGCTAGAAAGGGTGTTTGGGAGATGAATTCAGAGGCTCTCTCCTGTATGTACCTGACACACGGCTTGCCGTCACGGTCTCCTGTCCACTCGCTGGGCAAACGTTGACGAAGTATGTCCTGTGTGTCCACCGGGTGATGGAGAACAGGGTGTTAAGCTACATGCAGTCACTCTGCACACGCTTACTAAGCCTTTACTACGTGCCTGCTATTTTTCTGAGCCAAGGGATAGGCCAGAGAACAAAGCTCGAGTCCCTGTCCTTGTGGAGCTTATAGAATGATGAACCAAGCCCTCAAGGAAACAGGGGCCACTGCAGGAAGAGGGCCCAGGAGGGACGCTTGCTGAGAGTGTAAGGGGTGGGACCATGGCAGGCTGGGAGGATCCGGAGGATCCCTGGCCACCAGGGTGGAGGCCAGCACTCATGGCCAGCAGGGACTGTCATACTGTGGGGTGGCAGCAGTAGATCCACTCCTGCCTCTGCCACTGGTTCATCGTGCCTTTCCTCCCAGGTCTCAGCTTCCCCAGAAGTTCTACTGGTGGTTCTTCCAGACAGTACCAGGTAGGGAGCGGGGCTGGATGCCAGGACTGAGGGCTCCTTCTGAGGAATTCTGCTTTGTCTCCCTCTCCCTGTGAATACACACTTGTCTGTAGTGGCCCTGGGTCCCTTTCTAGCCCATGGCACCAGCCCCAGCTCCAACTTCTCCAGGCAAGCCATATGGGGGCCCCGGAAGAATGAGAAAGAGGAAGAGGGGCAGGATGGGGGAGTGCTCTGTTGTCTTTTCAGTCCAGGCTGAGGTCTTGAGACTCCTCACCAGCCCTGTCCTCCTGCCCCCAGGTATGACAGGAGTGCTTCTGCTCCTGGTCCTCGCCATCATGTACGTCTTCGCCTCCCACCACTTCCGCCGCCGCAGCTTCCGGGGCTTCTGGCTGACCCACCATCTCTACATCCTGCTCTACGTCCTGGTGAGGGACTTCTCTGGGCAGGGTCAGGCCATGGAGCAGGGATGAGCACTCAAGATGGCAGCAAGGGAGGTGAAGGAGGGAGCAGGGCAGATCGCACCCCAGATCTCAGACTGAGACCCTGGAATCAGAGACCCTGAACTCTGGAGCCCAGACCAACCCCACCCACACAGCACAGGCCTGGCGCCTTGGCAGAGAGGGTGCAGGGTGGGGGCCTGGCCGGGCCTGAGCTGTACTAACTGGCCGTGTTTCCAGCTCATCATCCACGGCAGCTTCGCCCTGATCCAGCTGCCCCGCTTCCACATCTTCTTCCTGGTCCCCGCGCTCATCTATGTGGGGGACAAGTTGGTGAGCCTGAGCAGGAAGAAGGTGGAGATCGGCGTGGTGAAGGCCGAGCTGCTGCCTTCAGGTACCAACCAGCCCAGCCTGAGTGGGAGCGGCCCTCAGAGATCAGCTCCTTGAATGTGGGGGATAGAAAGCTCTCCAGGCTCTCGGGGCACCTGAAGCTTTCCTGATGGAAATGTGGCACTGGGAAGGGCCATGCTTGGCCCCCAGGAGACATGCAGATTGTGAGTGGCTAAGAAGAGGTGGCGAAAGTGCATACAAAGGCTCTGAGCATGAGAATGGCCCCTGGTGTGTGGTCTGGGTACAAGGATGTGCAGGGCAGAGAGCCCCATAATCCTCTCCCATCCCTTCTCTCGGGGAAACTCCCCCTTGAGACAGGCCAGTGCCACAGACTGCCATCTGTTCTTGGGCATCAGTGTCAGCCAAAGTGAGGACTCCTATTACTGTAAGAGGGTGGCAGAAGATGATTTTAGATGTTGCATGACTGTCTAGTCTTCAGGACTCCTAAGGAAATGAATCTCGTTTCCATATTATTTCCATCAAGATTGTCTAAGGACGAAGTCTCAGAGGGGTGTTAGTTTGCCTCTGGGTACGCTCCAGCACTTACCACCAAGAGAGAGCAGGGCTGAGGTCAGGGAATAAACCACATCCAGCTAAAATGACGATACTGGCTTCTCACTGAGCTTAGTGGTGACGTTTCCCATCAAGATACATTGATTTGAATAATAAATCAAAGGCCAGGTCTGTGGCCTGGTGGTTAAGGCAGCTGTATCCCACACAGCCTACAGCTTGAAAAACACCCTGGGCACGTGTGTATGTGTGCCCTGAATCCCGAATGGTAGGGGAGATGGAGGAGAAAGGATTGCAGCCTGGCCATTCCCCATGGGGGATGCTTGTGCTCTCTCTCTCTCTCTTTCTCTCTCTCTCCCCAGTGAGCACACATGCCCTCTAGGAAAAAAAAGTAAGTCAGTTTAAAGGGAAGCATTGGATCAATTTTTGCACAGATGTGCAGATACGGCCCCTCGCAAATGTAACCCTCTAACGGTGGAGTTTTGGTAAACACTGAGATGGGCCAGGGGAGCCCAAGTTCCCTCTGCCCAGCAGGCTCTTATTCAGGGCAGTGGTCTGAGGCCTGGGTTCTCCCCTGGAAGAGGGAGTAGAGAGGAGAAGAGGCCTCTATTCTCAGCCCCAGAAGCTTCAGTTGTTCAGACCACATGACCATTCTCTGGACCTCAGGAGTAGGAGAAGTCCTCACATGCCAGGGACAGGCCTTCTGATCCACACCCTTCCCTGCCTGTGACTCCCCAGGAGTGACCCACCTGCAGTTCCAGCGGCCCCAGGGCTTTGAGTACAAGTCAGGGCAGTGGGTGCGGATCGCCTGCCTGGCTCTGGGGACCACCGAGTACCACCCCTTCACGCTGACCTCCGCGCCCCACGAAGACACGCTCAGTCTGCACATCCGAGCAGCGGGGCCCTGGACCATTCGCCTCAGGGAGATCTACTCATCCCCGATGGGTGACGGCTGTGCCAGATACCCGAAGGTGCCCATCACTGGGAACTCTACCCTTGGCCTCTGGAATTGGCAGAGAATGCCTCCCCTCCCCGCCTCGAAGCTAGAAGCTCCACATGAGACCAGAGCGGGCTGGGGTGTCTCAAAAGAGCATGCTCCGTGTCCTCCCTCTGTCCTCCTACTTTTAGCTTCAGAGCTGGGGCAGGGCAAGGCTCATGTCATGTCCCTTTTCTCTCTTGGCAGTTGTACCTCGATGGGCCATTTGGAGAGGGCCACCAGGAGTGGCATAAGTTTGAGGTGTCGGTGCTGGTGGGAGGGGGCATTGGGGTCACCCCCTTTGCCTCCATCCTCAAAGACCTGGTCTTCAAGTCATCTTTGGGCAGCCAAATGCTCTGTAAAAAGGTGTGTGCTTCCCTCTACTCTTCAGATGGGGACAGGCGGCCTGCTTGTGCTTCCACGTCACAGCAGAGTGAAAGCTGCTGCTCCCAGGCACTGGGTTCACAGCGCTTCATTCCCATTGTCCAGATGCCAGACGTGGAGGGAGGGTCAGAGGTGTTGCCAGAAGGACTCCCCTGGATCTGGCTGTTGGGAGCCTGGGGTCAGGCTGGTGGATCCTGCCAGATCTGTGGTGTCTGGGTAGTCTGGGGCTTCCCGCCTCACAGATGAAAGCTCTTGGGATGCAGGGAGCCTGAGCTGAACCCAGTCCAAGCTCTGGCATGTGTCCCCAGATCTACTTCATCTGGGTGACGCGGACCCAGCGGCAGTTCGAGTGGCTGGCCGACATCATCCGGGAGGTGGAGGAGAACGACCACCAGGACCTGGTGTCCGTGCACATCTACATCACCCAGCTGGCCGAGAAGTTCGACCTCAGGACCACCATGCTGGTAGGTCAGGGCCGGCCAGGCAGGGTGGGGGGCCACCGTCTGCGCTACGGGTCCACCCTGGCCTTCCTGGCTGTGACCTTCCTCCACCTCTCCCTCCCCCAGTACATCTGCGAGCGGCACTTCCAGAAGGTGCTGAACAGGAGCCTGTTCACG